ACTATATTATAAGAGTCTGTTAATCATTCACACCACTTAATCATTCTGCATCAAACCATTCAACAACTGTCCAACAGCCACTTAGTCTATTTTGGATAATTTTCGAACGGTACAACATGTTTTGGTCTAGTTAATTTTCTCTTGAATTTATCGTGACAATAAGTTATTTTTTCAAAATTGTTCTGATATATATATATATATATATATATATATATATAAAGAGAGAGAGAGAGAGAGAGGGGTCCAAATACAACCCTTTAAATTACATAATCGATGCGACCCATCTACCCACCATCCAATTACTTTTTGGTTTTTTTTAATTAAGGGTTGTTACAACCGATTAAATGATAACCGTTGAAGATCAAATGGACGTTTCTGATTTGGTTGTAAGAGTTGTAGGAATACAAATGGTTGCATAATAACCCGAATTGACTGAAATGAAATTGGATGGTGAAATTGTCCAAAATAGTCGATCAAGATCTTCTCTTTTCATTTTATAATCACATTTTCAACGAATTGACTGAATGCCCGGGGAATACGTAAGTGAGCCTAATCCATTTTTCAATATTTTATTTAAAAAATTAGATGTTACGTTGGAATGTAATCCACATAGTAATGCCACCCAGACACTACGTGTAAGTAGCACTTAGGTAACTTATGTGATATCTATTTTTTTTTTTTTTTATTAAAAAAAGTGGATTACACAAGTTGTTTAACGCTAACTGTGTTCAGCTATTTCGCACACGATGTTGGAAATATGGCTATAAAGTGAAGACGTGAAACATTATTTACTATTCTGAACAATTTCCTCGTTTAAAATATCTACACTATAAAGGCCGACTGTATCATGGTACCTACTCACGTCTTGTATCTTTCATCTCGGTTTTCTCAGCTCTATTTCGATAAAACCCCATACATCTACCTTACAAAAACGTCAATATTTTTATTGGACCCTAATATTTTATCTCTTCAAACAAACACACCACACAAAAACCACAAATACAACCCTTCTTTTAATAATCGTAACGTTTAGTCTTTAACCAACTAAATGGATGGAATTTAAATGCAACATGGGTTGCGGTGTACCAGTTAAATCTTAGGGGGGTTTGCAGTGGAAAATCTCATCTACACTGCGTTCAAATCTAAACGCTATAAAAGCTTTTATAGCAATAAAAAGGTTCATCTGTGATGACTCTAGATTATTCACAACTGCCTGAGTAGTTAGTTGATGCATGCAAGCTGATCGAGGAACGCAGGTGAAGTTATTATAAGAATTTAACTACCGTCCTTTCTAGATTCCGAAGAGAAAAGCACGTTGCTAATAGGTTTGTACTTAAAAAGGGCTAAAGGGTAGCTCATGGATTTTGACAGTAGGCATATTAATTGGTTGCTAATAATGTAAAGGGGGTCAGCTATTAATGCTTGTACCATTATGTACTACCCATCTATGTGTATCCTTCACAACCACGTTTTCCATTTGAATCCCCACTTTTTCCTCGCTATCACTTGTTTTTTCCTTAACTCCCGTGTCGGCTGCCGCTTGTCGGCCGTCGCCTGCCGCCGTGTTGTACTGTACGGAACAACCGGTTTTTTGTTTAGGTGTGCCATGCGTTGGTTCAAAACCAAAGCCAAATTGGACACTAATTTGGTTTTGGTTCTTAAATGAACTCAATTTTTGGATCGAACAATAAAGGGGTTTATTGAATAAGATAGATTTCGATATATTGTTACAAGACTTTCGTGAATAAAATGAGTTGCTTTCGGTTTGGGCCCATTTTAGTAGGGTTAAACGATGTAATTAGTATAAAATCTTGAAATTGAGAGCCAAGTGAACGAGGAATCAAGCTTTCGAAGCATCCTAACGGATTACAAATTATTAATGATCGTTATATTATATATATATTTTTTGTTATTTATCATTTGGACCGTATAGTTACATATTATGATTATATCTATGACATATTATAACGTATTTGACAAAAACTTTTAAAAATCATTGTTTATGCATTAAGTATTGTTTATTGATTCATATTACTTGAAATTCAATATTACAAGTAAATTGTGCGTATGTACAACTTATTAAAGCTTCATGTTTGAATTCGTGTAACTAACTGCAGATAAATATAATCAAATGCTGGATCGATATCTCATTTTAAATATAAAAAATCTAAAAAATATTTAGGATAATTATTGAATTCTAACAAAGTACTAATTATTATCTTTATAAAAAAATTATATTATTAATCAAAAAATAAATGATTTCATATTTAAATCTAAATTGAATTATAATAAAAAAATTGAATTAAAGACATTACACAAAAAAACAAAAAACTTTTAAATATTTAAACATTTAAATTGATACTAAAATCAATACATTATTTTTCGAAACTTTATTCAAAACATAGAAATATTATCGTTTTTTCAGTACCACATAAAATCATATTATAATATCAACGGAGACAAAATAAAATAAAACATTAAAATGGAGATGTATTTTTATGCATTGCACGAGTACCCTTTTAATTATATGAAAAAGGCAAAGGTTATACCTCACCGTGAAGTTAATATTCGAAATTTTCATTTTAAATATGAGTTTTCCCAATAAAAGATAAAGATTAGGAATTAACAAACTAGGGGTCGCTTACCAAATAATTACTTATGTAAACGCTAACCAAGTCACGTTACCTCACTGAATGAATATGACAAATATCAAGAATATTATCCGGTAAGTGATGGCAACGACTTTTACCCCGGTTAACGTTTACCGGGTGAACTATTGCATATGATATCATTTTGGTGAATTAAAAATTTACCCGATAAGTAAACGATACTGTTAAATTTTAGCAGAAAGCATTTACCTGACTGAAAGTTTGGTAAACGACTCGAATACAAAAAACATATCAACTTTAAATATATATTGTAAATTGTAATTCATTCAAGTAGTTACTTGGACAGTGAGCCCAAATTACGGGAACCCAATATTCGCCAATCCATGAGTCCATAGCTAGGGGAATGGCCAAATGGGCCCGGTCTGGTTTGGACCGACGGAGGATTGGGATCAGTTATGTTTTTCATCCGAAAACAAGGCCGGGTACGAGAGCGATCCAATTGTTTTTTATTTTTTTTTACTGTTAATATGATCGTTGAAAATGGTCATGTGACCGTTCTTTTAGATTTTTGACCCCCTTTTTTTTTTTTTGTCTTTTTGACTCTCTATACATTTGTATACTAATCATAACGATAATTCTAAACCATGTGACTTGTATATAGTGCATAGAGGGTTGAAGAGACTAAAAATGGGTCAAAAATCCAAAAAATGGTCATATTAACGATAATAATTTTTTGAAAAAAATCGAGCCTGACCTTGTTTTTTTATGGAAAGCATAACCAGCCTGTAGCTGGCGGGCGAACCATAATCGGTTCCCACCAGGACGGGTCCATTTGTCATCTCTAGTTAGTGGTGCTCATGGGTTGAGTTGAAGGCATTTGAACCATCCAACCCAAAGTTTGCAATTCGACAAATCTCAAACCCAACCCAAATTGTATAGTTGGTCGGGTTGATACTTTGGTATATCAAAATATTCTTCTAATTTTGAATATGTCGTTTCCTCTACTTATAATTCTTTTTTCATCATCAATCGGTTGGTACAAACTATCTATATTATTTAAACCTTAAGCATACCACATTCAACTAATATTTTTAATTTATATAATTTGTTCACATTTACTGAACATATACGAAAGAATCATAAACAGATGGAGAAGGGATTACAAATATATGTAAAGAGGGTATGTGATGATGTGATTGTCCAATATATATATATATATATATTAATAAAAAATTAAAAATCATATTAAATCCAAAAAATAAAGGATATCGGATTCAAATGAGTGTAACCAAATTCCAACCCAGTACCTTCATTTTGAAGATTTTACAACTCGATTATACATCGAGCTTATTCAACCCATATTATTTCACATCAAGTTGGGTTGACCAGGTTAGTCGGGTTTTTGAACACCGCCATCCATAGTAAGTGCAAGGATGAATATTTAATTAATATAACAAATTTTTTATTATTTTTATTTTGTATAAGTTTTTATCTATTGCAGTCAATATGACATCAGTGGATTTTATTTTTAAGTGTCATTTTTCCATATAATAAAAAATTACGATATAAATTGACAATTTAACGTCAACATAATCAATAGTTTAGTTCAACAGAACGTTTGATTGACAATTAGACAAATTATAGGAAATTCCATGAAACACGAACGAGAACAAGAACTCAACCGAAACATTCTGAACCATCATAGTTTAGTGTTCGTCACAAATAAACCATTATTTTTATAACATTATAAAACTATATTTTTTGCAAGAACAGATAATATGTCTAAAAATACACTAAAAGGGTTATTCTGAATGATACCTCTTCTATTGCTAAATAAACCTCTTCTCAATTTTACAATTTTACAGATCAACCTCTCTTTTTACATTTCCAATGCACCATCGAACCCCATTTAACCAAGGGGCTAAAATGGGGACCCCACAAATCCACCTCAACCATGCTATGGAAGAAGTATTATTTAGGCATCATCACCATTTTCGAGATCAAATTCATCTTTTGGCCATTTATCACAAGAGATTTTCAAAATATCACTACTTCCGCAAGTGGCACATCCATGACTTGCAGAGGAGCTAAAGGACAAAAAATCCACTTTTTACCTAGGTATGTAAGTGACACCTCCACAAGTGGGTGAAAATTGAAAAAACAATCACTTTTCACCCAGGTCCGCAAGTGGGTGAAGCGTGAATGTTTTTTTGTCTTAGCTCCTCTGCAAGTCATGGAGGTGCCACTTGCGGAGGTAGTGATATTTTTTGAAAATCTTGGAGGAAAATGGCGAAGAGATGAATTTGATCCTTGAAAATGGTTATTTCTATTAATTTCCCCATCAACAAAAGATACAACACTGGCCTTTGACCCATTATGCACAAAGTATACTGTCCTTACAAGTTAGGGTTGCATTTAAACAGTAGGAACATACAAATTGAAGACTGCCATATCTGCTATAGACATGTTAACCAAAGCAAACATCATCAAAATACAGTTTGGCATGTGATGCTAACATGTTTAAGTCCAGATACTACAGGGTTTAAACCTCAAAATACACTCTACGACCCTGCTGCTATCAATGTCATCAAAGGAAGATAACAAACTATGGATACATCACCTTCCCATTCGAAATGCAGACCACATGCTCGTGTAGTAGGGTCTTGTGGTCTTCAATAGTTGTTTCTTTTAAAAGATAAATTTCACAAGGGAACTGCAAAAGACAGGTTATAAATATAAGGACGTGGCATTTTATACGACTATTGACAAAATAAGGTTTTCAACATGGATATTACTTCACTAGTCGAGGCTGGACATTCCCAGTGAGGCGTAACTTGTATCATCTGTTCCAATCAGTGGGATATATTCAGAACCTCTCACATGAACACTATAGCACGCTGCATAATCAAGGAAACTTTAAGAAATAGTCCAAGATTAAATAACATCCAACTATTGGACCCTATGAACACATATCATATTAATTCCAGTTATTTAGATATAAGAAATACGCTAATACAACAATGCTACAAATCAATTTCTCAAGATAATCTTTGATATAATAGGCCAAAAGCAATAGAAAATTGTTATGAACTGTTATCAGTTACAAACTAAGAATGAAGATAGAAACAGATTAATTGAATGGATACTTGAATGGAAAATAAAGGAAACCTCTAGTATTCGAGAGGCTAGCACTCTCCCATAGACCACTCACTATATTTTTGCCTGCCTTTCAACCCCCACATTCTTCCTATTTATACTATATATTTGTTCTAATAAGTACCCAAACTACCCCCTCTTAGCTATTCTAGAATATCATGTATGGATGGGCTTGGGCTTGGGCTTAAGTGGGTGCAGGAGAGAGAGTGAATAGATGGTGCTACTAACATAAAGAAAGACAGAACTAAGTCGTAAGCCCTAACAAACACAAGAATATCATAAAGATGGGCGCTTTGAGACTAAATAAAGAAATGCTCCTTGTCGCACATACATGCTCAAAACTCTAAGGGGCCGTTTACCAAACACTTATCCGGCAAGTGCTCATCGGTAAAATTTTACACTATCATTTCCTTACCGGGTAAGATTTTAGTTCACCAAAATGACATCGTACGCAACAATTTACCTGGTAAGCGCTTACCGTGGTAAGAGTCGTCGTCCTCACTTACCGGGTAAGACTCTTGGTCCTTGTCTCGCTCTTACCGGGTAAGATTCTTGGTTCTTATCATATTCATCCGGTAAGGCTAACTTGGTAAGCGCTTACTCGGGTAAACGTTTGGTAAACGGCCCCTAACTTTATGCAAGTGTTTAGAAAACTGGTGTACATTAGTATTTGGGGTGGGTTGAGTGACACAACTATTGAAACTCAGCTCATTAATAGCTAAGATGTTGAACTTGGAACCAACCACAGTGACCGTCACATTAAATCAGTATCAATGTACTTGTCCTCCTATCTACATATTTAGTTACACGTTAACTAGAGCAAGTAGTTTTGTATTAGAAGCTTCTGTTACCATCGTGTCCTATAAGATGGAACGAAGTCAATGAATGCAAAAACTTTAATCAAATCCAAGAAATGCAGCACGAATGTCACAACTATACCATTTTCTATTTTCATTACACTCTGGAGCATTGTATCCATCTTTTGTTTCATGTCTGAAGTATCATCCATTTTTGGAGCCACGAGCGTAAGTTCTCTGTAGATTTCACGCACAAATCTGCATATCCTCTCAGCATATTCAAGTTCGCCATCTGATATCCTTCCAATTGCCAACCTCATCAACTCTCCTGTCAAATCAGCTAGCTAAACCAAAACAATCAACATGCCAAAGATGAAAAAGTATAGCCCATTACAGGTAGCACTCTACCAGTTAAGAGTAGCAATGTAACAGCAAAAAAATCCAACTGTGAAATGCACAAAATATACATGTTTATTTTACACGCAATGGAACTTACCCCCAATATGTAGTCAAGGATATTAATTTGCAGAGGCTCCAAAGAAGCATCACTCAGTGGTAATAACATGGAATTTATCTCTTCAAGATTCAACAGGGTACCACTCGTGCAGAATTTACATAATGTCGCAGCTTCAACATATTCTTGTACCTGTACAGGAGCAGGCTCTATTATTAAATTTAAGTGATTCAGTACTCTAATCTATACCAATCAGGCAAAAAGTGCATGAAGAGGCCAACCCCTGGAGAGTATGCTCGTCTTAGCTTCCAGAAATCAGTCCCTTGCAATTCATTTACTAGCCGGGCTATATGCTGATCTCTGACAGCTAAAAGATCCTTTTCTGCCCTCTCCAACACCTCATCTTTGTTATTTTTGCTGATTCTGTTGAAGGATGGAAATAAAATAAGCATAAATGAATGGTATCAACTTATGTCAATTCAGTAGCAACACAGTAGGCACAATCTGGATCTAGTCATATTGGTTACAACTCCAGGGGGGATATAACGGTGTGTCAAATGCTCATATTTGTTACAGAGAGATTTATGTACAAGAAAAGTAGATGCTATGAGATCATGAATGACACCCATAGCTTGACTTGCAACAAAAAAGAATAACATGAAAAAGTTCAAAGAGAAGTGGTGCTCTGGATTTCACATAAAGTAGCCTACAGGAAGTAACAATTAAGGTTCAAGGAACCAAGGACCGTGATTCACCTGTGCACCTGAAATATCACCTTTTTGCTATTAATGGTGATATCACGACTTGCTTTCACCACCCTTTCCCTCTTGTCATTCTGCAATAAGTATTAATCAACAAGTAATAAGCACATAACTATACACCAAGTTATAGAGAGTCATGAAGAATGATTCAATTGCAAACATCGCTAACATGGAAAATAATAGATTTTTTTTCACCATACAATTATCCCTGATTATTCAAATGAGCTGGAAATGAAATGCAAATGAAATATAACTACAGTGAAGACAAAAAAATGATAGATTAATACAAAAGAGTATAGCTACCAAACTATTATAAACTATACAAACCTACATTAGCTAAGCATTGCACTCTCTTATAAAAAATCGTGTCCTTAGATATGCTTTCATTCGAATCCCAAATGTATTCCACTCCTTTTTTGACCACTTCGTCTAACACTCTCTTAGGGGCCGTTTACCAAACGCTCACCGGGTAAGTGCTTACCGACAGTAGACATCACCTTCACTTACCTTATTCTGTAACATTCTCATACATCAAAATGGATTGTTGGTAAGCGTCTTAAACCTGGTAAGTGTTTACCAGATAAGAGTCTTTTCCCTCACTTACCGGGTAAGACTCTTGGACCTTGCTATGCCTCCTACCATGTAAGATTATCGGTCCTTGGCATGCTCAATTGATAAGGTAAATGTTATAGGTAAGCGCTTTTACCTGGTAAGTGTAAACAGCCCCTTAGTCTCTTGACAAATGCATATAGATGCCCATATTAAGCTTGAAAAAACCATCTAAAGTCATGTTTCTTGATTTTTTCCTTTAGGCGTTACCTAATCTATGATCACAAGTTAACCCCAGAGAGCATGAACTCAAGTATATAATCCAGCCACATACTTGAATACCAACACAACAATATTAATTTCAAACAAGACCTCACTAAGAAGAACCAGCAATAATCATTCTTGTAAAGAATCTAGCCCTGCATCTCAGTTCCAGACCCTACAGAGCTAGCTCGGTAATGTGACAATGTGCTCAAGTCCATCAACCCCACAAACCACAAGCATCGGCCTACGCTGCAAAGAGGCCATGTGGTCAAATGACCTATTTTTCATGTTAAAAAGCCCATTATATTTGTCTAAATTTAGGGGTGATCGATAACTAGATTTCATAGTTTGGGAAATTAGATTCATATTAAATTTGAAATGTAAAAATCCATTAACATCCCCAAGTAAGAATGGGGTTCTCTTTAGAGGCCTACCATTGCATTGTTGATATTTAACCTAATCCTTGATAACCCATATCCTTTAAATAAGTGATCATCACGAATTCATTTGGGGGGAAACGTTGCTATGGCCATCATAACAAGTTTGCAATCACAAAAGTACAGAAGTCAACGGTTTCACTAAAATGGGTTATCGAGATGCCAGAGGGTGTGGGAAATTACTTGGAACCACATCATTTTGCAGCATATGCAACGAATTGTTTTCCTCCATCCCATTTGAAAAAGAAACGAAAAAAAAAAACACATTGAAACTACCGCTCCACGCCATCAACCCAACTATTATGCAGAATGAATTAGTTAAAACAGATGAACAATGTAGGTTTACATAAGAAGTTAGAACTGTGCGAGTGTTGTGGGATAAGAGAACGAGAATCCTAACGAATTGATTGAGGTATTCAGCGTATTTGGAGAAATAATCTTTCATAGACGACGACGGTGAAGCTGATGCAGTGGCGATCAACCTAGATTTTTTGGTGGTGCCTTGCATTGTTGAATCTGCAACTGCAGTGAAAATGTTAAGATATTTGTATGCGAGTCTGAAGATTGTTTTGGAATTAGAAAACGACAATTTCACCTAGAACAACAGGATGAAGACAATAATATAACAGAAATTAGGGTTTTCTGCAAATTAGGGTTTTAGGAATTACGTCGACGGATAAGTTGGGGTTTGGGAGCCATAAGATAGAAATGCCTGTGCAACGACGCCGAAGAATACAACATCTGGCGCTACCAAAAAAAGACTCTCCACATTCGTATGGATTTATCGGAACTTATTTTATCATTTTTTCTTTAAAGAATTTTAAGAAATAAATAAGTAATATTAAAATAATATTGTTAAGTTTGAAATTAAATTAAAATATAATTTTTTATGAATCCGGGATTGTTTGGCAGTTGCTAAATGGTTTTGTGCATAATCATTAAATGGTTATAATAATTAACAGATTCTCATGATATAGTGCAAAATGAAATATAATTGTTTGATAATTATTTACAATGAAATTAGAGCTCTTAATGATTAAAGGATGTTCATGATACAAAATCATTCAGAGAGTTTTATAACCATTAAGAGGCATATTTTTTTTGCCAAACAAGATTCACCTCTTAACGATTCAGATATTGCCTCTTAATGAAACTATTAAGAGGTAAACAAACAACCCCTCCGTTAGTTTTTAGCGTAGATTAAAAATCTCGTAAGTTGATTAAAATAGTCAGGTACTGTTTGATAGTTGTTAAATGGTTTGGAGTAAAACGATTAAGTGATCATAATGATTAAAAGACTTTTATTATATAGTGCAAAATGAAATGTAATTGTTTGGTAATTATTTACAACGAAATCAAGGCGTTGAATGATTAATGGAGGTCCTAGATACAAAATCATTCAGAGGAGAGAAAGATTTTTTTTTTGTCAAACAAGATCTACCTCTTAATGATTTAGATACTACATCTTAGCAAAACTATTAAGAGATAAACAAACGACCCCTTAATCTCTCAAAACACATTCACTTTTTAAAGCAAATTTTCTTTCTAACCCGTCTTTACGCAAATAACTTACGTATCTACATAAAGACCAGTTCCAAAAAAAAATTATGTAAGTGGACTACCGTTTCTTATCTCGTAAAAAATGTGAGATTTTGAATAAAGGCCCAAAATTTTAGTTCTTAATTTTATGTGTTTAAAACCTTTCATTAATATATATATATAAAAAAATATTTCCAAATTGTTTAGATTTATGTTCAAATTATTAATATATATAGTACATGCAGAGCTTATGAAGTCTTCTTTTCTAGACTTGAAAGTCTTAAATCTGAAGTCTTCTTTGTTTGATCATGTGATAATTAATTTTATTACTTTGTTTGATCGTTTATTTTGATTATATTTGGGAAGTTTTCTTTTCCAAACGGAACACCATGCAGAGCTTATGGCTTGTTTATACAGAGTTTTAAAGTCTTTTTTTCTTTTCTTTTCAGATTTAGCTCAACCGAACCCTGAAGTCTTACTTTGTTTGATCTTTTATTTGGATTATATTATTAAATTTATCAATTTCATTTTTCATAAATTTCATTATGGAAAAGAAGATAAACACTTTTGAGTACAAGTCTGAAGTCATTTTCAAAGTTACTTATAAATTTAAATTTATTCAAAGGTTAACTTTCTTTTAACTGATTATTGATTTAGTTTCATTTAAATTTAAAGAGTCATTTTTCAATGTTATTTCAAGTTTGAAGATTGTATTTAAAATAAATTAAATTACAAGTCTGAAGATTGTACTTTAAGATAAATTCCCTAACATGATTGATATGATTTTCTTTTTAAATTATAATTGATATAATTTTTTTTAAATTACACCGTATAATATACAGTAGAACCTAATATTGAACGTAAAGAACCAAGATTTGTTATAATTGAGAAAAAATTATTGAAATATAAAATAAAACCTAAATTTAATTTCGAACAGTGTGTGGGAGCTCCCGACAACCCACGGTAAATCGAGAGAACCCCGCCAATAGTTTCATAAAGTCTCAAACCAATCAATCTTCGAGATTCTTCATTCATAAAGTCTCAAACCAATCAATCTTCGAGATTCTTCATTTCCACGTTCATCAAACTCAAATCACACATTCGAAGCCAAAATGGTGACGCTGGTGGTGGCAACAACCACCGATCCCGCCTCGTTTGGACCGGCATCAGCCCTTTCCGCCATGGGAAATTGGAAACCTGGCGTTTCCTTTCAGGTACTGCTTTGTACTTTCCAAAACTTCTCCCTCATGTATAGTTTGTTTGTAAATTTGAGTTTCTTTTGTGTATTTTATCTGGGTAAAAGGGGATTAGGAGTAAGGTGAATGGAGAGGTGAGATTATTGGAGCATGATAAAGGGATAGTGGAGGAAGATCATTTGGATAATCGGTGGGAAGAGGTTACTGGAGAGGTTGTTGAAGAGATCATCTTTCTCAGCAAACACACGGCCGTCAGTAATCGCCCAGCTCTCACCATTCATCCTATCGGTATTACTCTAATTCATTTGTTCATGATTAAGATAACTGATTGCCTGATTGATGATTAGTCGTTGCATGTGTTCAAATTGGTAACGTTGTATGTTGGCCAGAGAGAGTGTAATTGGAAGCCTCAGTTTCTTGACCGTACAAGCTGGCCATCTGCTATCTCTATTTCTCCTAGGAATTTTGCTTTCCTGCCTGTTGCTATGGTTGCCCTATCTTTGTTTATCCTAGGAGTTAGGACTCCTTTGCAACTTGGCTAAGTTTTCCTGGAAATATTTTGGGTTTGTGATCTCTCTATGTAAGTGGTGAGCTTGCATTATGGTTAACTTAGATCATCACCCTGAGAAATTGCAATCTTGAGTGCATATTATTATCTATGTTTGCTATTATGATCATATTTAACCGTTTAAGTGACCCAATGAGGCTTATTAGAAAATAGATTTTAGTGAAGTCGGGTGCTCAACTCACTTTATGTACGTGGGTTGAGGGAGATTGAGGTAGTGGAGTTGCCAAATGTGGTCCTATCTGTATCTCTGATAGTTCAGTTGTCTATTAGTCCCTAAGGAAAAAAGTTCTATTTGATATGATATTGAAATGCAACAGAATGTGCAGTATGAACTTTCTCAGATACGTATGAATTTCTCTCTTTGATTGTATTTGCAACTTGCAAGAAGATGGAGATCAACTTTTATAACCTGAGCACAGGCAATTAACCCACATGCCATATGCTAGGATGATAAGTGGATCACGAAGCTCTCATCCTGTTGGCAGCCTCTTGTCACCTTTGTTTCATTTATATCATGTACATATATATGGTCAGGTGTGCCACATCTAAAAGAAGGAGATGTTCCACCACAAGGAGGGAAGCCGGGATGGGCAGCAGTTCCTAGTCCTCGGATGACACCATGGTTGATACTCCTAAAGAAACTTGCCCAATCTCATAACTTGGTTCCTGAATTTGAGGTACTCGTAACTTGACCTTCTAGTAAGAAAGTTATAATATCTTGTACTCTTATTATTCGTCACTGAAAAAAGATCCTACTTACACTGTCCTGAAATCGCTTTCCCTACTTCTTATGAAGACGACAGTCTTACGGATCATCTCTGTTTTGGAAACTAACCTAAATTGCAACAACTTTCTTGATATTGTCTATCAATATGTTCTATTAGTTTTATATGTTTAACCAAATCATTTCCAGGTAAGTTAAACAATATCATTTAGGCAAGTTTGTCAATGTTTCAACCATTACATGTTCCACTAGACAGATACTGTAAAAAATTTATGAAGTTTGAAGAGATTCCTATAATAAAAGACCAAGCAAGTTCTGGAATCAACCTGGTCATAACCTAAAGTCTATGGAAACCAATAAACTTTGTCATTTTTATAAAAAATACAGAACTTAGCAAAGATAAAATTTCAAATTGCAAAGAGGTGATCACAGCTTGAAGGACTTGAATAGTGACAAAGCATGGATGGAGTAGACCAACACTGGTTTTGTAGTGAGCCATATGGCTCAGTTAAAGATATTAGCTTTTACTTCTGCCGCAGTTCATCGGAGAATTTTGGAGCTCCTTTAAATGGAGAAACTCTAAGATAGTCAACAAACATAATTTTTATGTTACAAACTGCTCCAGGAGGACATTTTAGTAATGAAATATGTGCGAATATGTGGAACCCCCATACCACTCTCCAAAAGAGCACTTGCCCGATTGGTTTAAGCTTGGGCTCCAAAGGTCAAAACTTCCTGGAGTTCCCACGTTCAAATCCAAGGAGGAATAGAAAATCCTCTTGTGGCCACGGAGGTTCAAATATGGTGACTCCAGGCTACTCGTAAAGCGGGTGGTCTCCCTGGGATTAGTCGGCTCGTATAGCGGGCTAGATATCCAGGTTAATAAAAAAAAAAGAGCCCTTGAGGAGAAAGGGGAAACTCCAACATATATACAAGAGAAATGGTTCACGTCTAGCCCATGTGGGACTTCAACAAAATAAACCGGAGCTTTGAGCTAGTAATAAATCAGCTCTTCTCGAAGTTAATATTTTTCACACTACTATTCTCTAAATAAAAAGAAGCTTGATAAAGGATCAACAGGCGGATTTTTGTCATTCATAATAGCAGCATATTGTCAGCAAATGAGAATACAAGATATTTAAATTTTATTTCCAATGAAGCATCAATATTAACTTCAGTAATAAGATATCCTTAGTTCTTACCAAAATCTTCCACAATAATAAACAGGGTGGGAGACAAAGATTCTTCCTGCCTCAAGTTCCAATTGGATTTAAATTAGTTATTCTTATCAGTGTCAAGAAGGATGTACTAACAATTAGTAAGGCACTTGCAAATTATATCACCCTAGTGCCATCTAAAAAAAAACTTATTTTTGTGCATAGATTTAATAACAAAACCTTATTCAAGTTTACCACCTTGAAAGATTTAGCGTTTCATTCTTATTTCGTCAACACAATATTATGACCAAAACCTTATCATCCAAAGAGTGAACTATCCCTTGAGCCAACACAACTTGCTCATGTACATATTATCTATAAGGAAAGCTAAATTTCTCTTTTGAGATATAATTGGAAGATGGGCATAAAGTCTAGAACTTAACATGTTAAAAATGATTTTTAAAGGAGCAAAGACCAATAGGCCACAAAACAGAAAAAGAAGGACTGGCAACTACAGAAAGCACTATTAAATTAGAAAAACTCAGACTAATTACTGTAGTTAAAGAACTCCTGGTAGAGACTAACCTTTTTTACCCACACTATTTCATTATATTTGTAATTTGGGTACTTCTGAATCCAGCTATCAAAAAGATTCAGGAATCCGTACCCAGGAGGTGTTGCTGTCTGCCCATTNTAATTTGGGTACTTCTGAATCCAGCTATCAAAAAGATTCAGGAATCCGTACCCAGGAGGTGTTGCTGTCTGCCCATTGATGCATCCCTGGTAATTCAGTGGACATGCTCAAGAGTGGGATTCAAACTCTTGACCTCTAGGTTATCATGACTAAGTCCAAACCACTTGGACAACCCAACTAGGATTCCAGTGTTCCAATGTTTTGTTATAGTTTCCTTGGACCGCAGTGGCCATCAAAGATTTGCTTTATTCCGAAAATAATTAAGAAGAGTTATTTTTCTTTTTATTTGCATCAGGGTTGAAATGCAGGATGGTCAATTTCTGGTCTAGCCTTACTGATTCCTTGTTGATAATTGATTCCTTCTCTTGTTTCTTATGTTCTTTAGTTGGGCTCCTGCCCAGCACTAACTGTCTGTGCAACTGGTCTGTGTAGATTACCTTGGAGGCAACTCATCATGGTCCAGTTACAAATAAGCCAACAATGTTTGTGGAGATAGGTAGATATCTTAAACTTCTTATCCCTGATATGGGTTTTCTAGATCTGGAACATCCTTTAGCATTACACCGGTACAATTGACTTATTGTTGCTCTTTATGGTTAAACTTGCATGGTTGTTTGCATCTGAAATGTTCCTGACCTATAAGTTTCATGGCATCTAGTCATGATGGAGCCTTGATTAACATTTAATTTTGTGTGATTTTCGATATTCCTGGGTATAATGACCAAGTGACAATGAATGTAACACAAATTTCTTGGTTTGTATAGGCAGCACAATTGAATGCTGGAAGAGGCAAGATGCTGCCCAAGTCGTTGCTCGAGTTCAGTACAGCTCTATAACATATTTTTATCATTTTTGGCTTCCTCATAATTTGAATTACGTCGTTTACGTATCAGTTTTCCCTTTTATGTGATAGTATCATGAAAAATTGTATCTTTATGTCATCTCCATCTGACGAGAAGGGGAAAGTGATTGGCACATACAAAGTTATTAGAAGTTTAAGTAAAATGAAAAAAAAAACCCCTTATCTGATAGGACATTTGGAACATATGAAGTAATTTGCTTGCATGCTAACTTTGCCCCAATCTTATTCTTGATTTCTACTTTATTGGCACATCATCATATTCTCTCTGAAACTTTTTCTTGATTTCTGAAGTTAGTTTGGGAAGGACTTGGAATCGGAGGAGGCGAGGCTGTTGGAAATTGGAACAGGTACCATAGTATAAGTGAACCCTTTTTCACTTGTCTAATACTGGATAAATACACCCGTGTTGTTTTAATGTTTTTTTGTGGGTGTTTTAAATATTTATGTAGACATAATACCTGCAATCATCAGTCCTCTAGTATTAGAGGGAACCATGGATGGCCTTTCTTGTCTCTTGTAAAAGTGGAATACAGACTTTTTTTTAACTTTTGGGGTCAAGGGGTTATTCGGAAAGTAATTATTTTTGTTCTATTTTTTCTTTAACGTAGAACCCTTGTCATCCTCTACACTTAATGATTATGTCTATTTTGGATCCTTACAAAGTCTTTCGACTATAAGTAGTCAAACTCAAACTCTAGTGCGAATCCTTGTTAAACTATGCATGTTTCTTACCTAACAAAAAAATTCTCTCTTTCTGTTCCAGCATGTCCGGTAACAAAAAGGTGCTTCTTGGCATAGGGGGTGGTCATTATGTACCTCGGCACATGGACATAATCCTGTAAGTTACTTTCACCTACTAGTTTCCTGTTTTGCTGATTACCACTTCCGTTTGTAATTCAGAACATTAATATATTCTTTTCCTATGAAACAAATTACATTATTATAAGGTCAGAGGTTCAAGAGAACCTGGCCATCAATACATCCATAATAAACTTGATACAGTTCAAAAACCCACTAGTAGCATAAACAGATAAAGGACATATTTTTGAAAGAAGTTCTTTCGATTTCTATCATATATCAAGGAAAATAGGTCCAAATCTAGCAAATGTGGGACTCCAATAGACGATACAACATTATTCACTTGATTTTTTTATTATACAATATTTAGGAAAGGTGGTATGTGGGTTGGTCACTTGCTGTCTGGATATTCGTTACCGATGGAAGATCCTGGTCAATCAAAAGGCGAAACAAAGTCAAAAGATATTGGAGGGACCTGGAAGCAGGCAATCAAAGCTGCATATGATGCTACAAATGAAGGTTTTCCTGGTGGGGAAATCATAGCTCATCTGGACCACAAGTAAAGCTCTCATCATTTACTACTGTCATAACCCATTAATTATTATAGAAATCAATCTAACTTGAAAAAAAATATCATCAAATTGTCAGGAGTTTCAAGGGTTGGCAGAAGAAAGCAATTATGGAGTACTTAGATGAACAAAATATTAAGATCGGCAAACCAGGTGATTTCTACTGATCAGTAGTGTATTTGCAGTTATTTTTACGTGGCCCCAATTGGGATTTTCTGCCTGGCTTCATATAGCATACCGTCAAGAAATCTAGAGTTAATGTAGAGTCGTATTCAAGAAGGATAACAACGAATATGCTTTTGATCTGGTCTCGTTGCAAAAGTAATGCATCGTGGTTCATGCTTTCTAGCACGGCCACTCAATTTGTTTGACTTTGGATCCTAAAAAGTGGTGGGAAATTGAATGGTGAAGCATAATGAGGATGATAGCAAATGCAGTTTAAGTTATGTATTATAAAGTCTTACTGTTAAAGGATAATAACAATGATACTAAGGTCATGGTCCCATTGCAAAAGTAATACCACTGGTTCTAGTTCTTGTTTTATGCCAAGGCCACTTGATTTGTTTGATACTTGATCCAAAAAAGTGGTGGAAAGTTTGATGGCAAAAGCAGAACAAGTTGACAAATGTTATCATTACGGGTGTCTGAGTCATTTTGTGCTTATTTTAATTGATCTTCTGAGACGTTAAAGATAACAATAAGGAAAATTCTCTGGTTCTAAGGAAACTTGAACTAGGTCTCATGGTTTACAAATGCAGTTTGTACTACATTGTGGATTGAACTAATTTATCATGAACTTAAAGTTCCTTTATTAGACAAGGAAGTCGAGCATACGGAAATGGTCATGAAGATCAAAAGTTCGATCAAGAAAAATGACAATTCTTGCTTACGGTTAGTCGAGAGGCTTGGAGTGGAGTTAGACCATCATATAATCTAATTTAAAATAACGTTTAGAAGTAGTTTAAGTGGTAAAACTTTAGATTTGTTTTTTTATGATTACCAGTTCGAGTCTCCTCGGTATAACTGGAGGTTTCATGTATTGTCCATCTAGCAATGAGGACGAATATAGAACGTAAGAAAAGCTTCTAGGAGAGGATTATGTAATGTTTTAATGTTAAAAATATTTTAAACATATTTTTTGTAATTTCTTTAAAATAGAGAACTAAAAATAAAATCTTTAAAATAATATAAATTCAACTCCAACATATTCTATAATTTATTATCTCAATACTGTTGTTTAAAAAAAGAACTTCATATAAAATAATAATATTTCAATCTCATTGGTGGATATGAATCAGAAAATCATTTATCTCACTTCACATCGAGTTTTAAAGAAATCTTTAAACTTGAAGTTTTTATTTTTCATGTTTTCTTTATTCTAGATAATAATATAGAAAATATGTTGGAATAAAATAGAAAATAAACCCTTTATTTTTTTCTATTTAAAAAATTGTTGGAAAAACTTTAAAAAAATTTAAAGATTTAAGTTATTTAAATATATAGTATTTTAGGGGGAGACTAATGGCAAACTTCTCATTGCTATTGACACTCTTTAAGTCTACTTTAATTATCATTTTTTTTGTGCTTTTGTTATTTTATCTTCTCTCTTTTATTATTTTAATTTATTTTAAAGCAATTTTAGTTAATATAAGTTATTGATTTTTTTGTCTTTTATTTATTTATATTATATTT